AGAGCCACTCTGCCCAAGCTAGGCTGGCATCCTCCATCAGCTTTTCCATGCCATCCCAAGGATGCTGGGATGCTCCTGGGTTTGCTGCCACGCCAGGACCATCGTGGGATGCAACCTGTGCCGGTGAGGGATGCTCGGAGGTGGGATACGGGAGACCCAGAGGATGGGATGTGCAGGAGTGCATCATTTGAAACGAGGCAGCGCCTAAGGAGGACTCTGGACACGACACCTGAAATTAGATCCACAAATCCACGGAGAGACTTCTCCTTCTTTTTGGAATTTAGTTGGTTTTTGGTTTTTTTTAATTGTAAATCAGAATGATCCGAAATCACAAAGCCAAGTCCATGTAGGACCGAGCAGGGAGCTGGCTCCCCTCCCTTCATTATTTGCAGGTTTAAAAGTCTATCGGGGTGCAGAAGTTTGGTTCTCCTCTTTAATCCCGGGTCTGTGAAGGAGGCTTTAACCTGAGCTCACGCCGTTGGAATTCCCTGCTGTGCCTGGGAGAGGCTCCCCCCCTCCAATCGCTTCCAGATGCTGTTCCTGCTCCGGCTCTTCCCCGTTGCAAAATGTCTCCCCCAGCCCGACCAAGTTTTCCCGGCTGGATTCAACATCCCGATATCTGGCCAGGCTGAGTCAGCCCAGCCTTAATGTTTTGCCCAGAGGCCGATGCCAGCGGGAAGTTGGGACTCGCCCCCTGGCCTTGCCCCAGGAGCCCTGGGGTGGATCCCCCGGCAGGGTTTGAGCCTCTTGCGACATCGGGTGGTTTTTGAATTTCTTTTAAAATACAGATACGTGAGCTGGTTGAGAGTTCAGGGTCCCTCTGCACCCCCTGCCTGCATTGCCAATGGGGCAGAGCTTCCCTGAGCTCCAGAAGGGGGGGAAACTGAGACAGGAGGGTGCTGAGCGAGAGTTGAGGAGGCTTGAACGCTGCTCCGGGGCTTTGCTGATGCTGTGTGCGCACTGCCAGCCCAGCATTCCCACAGGGGATCATGAAGCACCTCTGGATGGGGATTAAACCCCCATCCTGGCAGCTCCATGGCTGTTGGGCTCATCCAACCCTCTGGCATGGGGTTTATGGGGTGGGATTTTACGGCACGAGGATGGATCAGACCCTTCTGGGTTGGGAATGGAGGAGAGTTCTGAAGCATCGAGAGAAAAAATGAGGTAGAAAGTGAGAAATAAGGGAGAAAAATGCAGAGAGAAGGGGTGCAGGTGGACTGGGGGGATGCAGGACTGAACAGGACCAGGGTGTGGGAGGGGGGATGGTGCCAGAAATGAAAGGGAGAGAAGGGCTGTAGGGGTTAAACGTGGTGGTGCCTGTGAACAAGGCGTCAGGAGCGGTGCCAAGGGCCGGGAAGTCCTCGGGCCCATCCCTGTGCGATCACCAGAGCCGCTTCCAAACCGAAAAAGAGAAGGAAAAAAAAAAAAAATCACAAAGAACTGTCTGTTCAGGCACATTCGGGCTCAACAGGTTTTGCTCCCGGGTGGGGTCCAGTCCTTGGGGTGGGGGAGTCGAGAGCCCAGCTGTCAGAGCCGGCTCTTTATGCAGCCAAACGTGATTTGTCCTCAGAAATCTTACCCCGGGCTCTTTTCCCACTGCCTTTTTTCTGGGAGGGGGGTGATGGCAGCCCTCGAGGGCGGGAAGGGACGGGCAGCTCCTGCTGAAGGGCTGGAGGAGCTGGGGGGGATTGTTCAGTTAAAATCTGGATGACACACAAGGTTTTGGTGGTCACACCACGGCACCTGCCCCAACACCTGGTCCTGCAGCCAAAGCCCTGCACCCCCCGGCATGTTCAGCTTCTTCAGCATCCTCGTGGTCCGTCAGCATCCATCGTGGAGCTGGGGCTTCCCAGGCCCCTTTGCTGCCTAATTAACAACGTCGCTGCTTAATTCCCCCTGCATTTACAAGTTAAATCGACAGATTATCTGTATTATGCAAACGCAGCTTTAAATCGTAATTATTTATTTGCATGGGGTGTCTGGAAATCAGTGGCTTTAAGCCTGCTGATGCTGTTTTCTTGGAAGCACAGACTTTTGCTAGGAAATAAACCCAAAATAGGCTTTTTTTTTTTTTTTTTGGTCTAGTGGGTGATGCTCAACACCCCAGCTTGGAAACATCTATTTTTTCCTTTTATCTATTTTTTTTTGGGGGGGAAGGGGCTATTGTGGGAGGCTCATCCTTAAATAGCAGTGGTTTATTTTTAGGCCGGTCGCTGCGTTGGATAATCCGGCTTGGCTGGGCAGCTTTGCTTTGCTTTTCTTCCCATTCCCAGCGATTTGATAGAATATAGGTTTATAAAATTAATTTATTTTTAATGAAATAGTTTAATAAATTCAGTAAATTCTTAATAGAATTGAAAAACTACAATTGAGGTGGAGGTTCTGCTGGTGGCGGCTCTTCCGTTCTCTCCTGGCCAGGGAGCATCCGCTGGGATGACCATTAGGGAAACCTCTTCCCAAAAATCGCATCCCACACTGGAATTACACCTTTGGCTCGGCCAAAGGGTGGTTGGGAAGCAGCTGGATTATCTCCCACTAAATGCTTGCTGAATGAATAAGCTGCTCGTCCCGGGGCAATAGCGATCGAGGTGACGTGAGGGATGTGCCGGGCTTGGAAACACCTCTCTCATGCCAAGTGGAGACGTTTTCTCTGGAGGAGGATGAGCTCACCTGGCTTTTATTCCCCTCCCAGCCCAGCTTTTGCTCTCTCCCCCCTCGGGAGGTAATTTTAACCGAGGGAGGTTGGCGCCGGCAATGGAGCTCCGATGGACGGACGGACGGACGGCAGCCTCGCTCCAGGTCTGGCGGGTGGAAGGGGGACAGACTCCATCTCCATCTCCCCCTCCTCTATTTTAACAGCTCCCAGGGGTTTGGTCCTCGAGGGGGAGGATGACTGGAGGGATTTGGTGGCTCATCCCTGCCCTGCTTGTGTCCCCTCCTGCCTGGGGAATACCTGTCTCCCCACAGGGATGCTCCTACACCAGGGCTGAGCCCCTCAAAATTCCTGGCTGTCTTTAGTCTTTGACAGGGGAAGGGATGTTTTCGTTTTCTTTTGCCCAAAGCCACGAGCATCCCAGAGGGGGATGTCAGGGAGCGGGCACAAGGTGCCCTTTCCCCCCTCAAGTTTGAGAATCATCATTTAAGTGATTAAACTGATAGGCAGGAGGGGAAATTGAGGCCGACAGCATACCTGGAGAGGGGAGGGAGCAAAATCCCGCTTGTTTAGGGTTTCTCAAGGGCTCTGGGACATTCATTTCCTGCTGGCATCAGCTGCCGGATGGGTTGAGCCGCCCGCGGCAAGTGGTGGCGACAGCGGTTCCTGACCTGTCGGATGCCGGATCCGTGATGGGATTTTTCTGGACCTTGGGCTGGGAACGGCCGATTGCATCGGCCAATGGCGGGGAGACTGCCTGGGAAGCTGGAAAACAATCCCAGGAAGACCAGCAGCGATCCAGCTCCTGGCTCTTCCAGTCAAGCTGGAAAGACCAGCTTGGGGCAAGAGCTCAGATCGTCCCGGCCGGGCCGATGTGCTTTAAGGTACCACAGTCTCCTGCTCCCCTGGGGCTGCAGGATCCTCCTGGGATCCCCTTACCCACCCCCAGGCAGCTCCGAGCATCCTCATCCTCCTCCACACGGGGCTGATGCTGCACCATGAAGTGCTTTAGCAGGAGCTCCCCGGGGAGGGTTTAACCTCGTTAGTGGATCCTGCAGTTCGTGGCTCTGAATCAAAAGGCTCCTTGTTGGCAGCGATGTCGGATGCTCCGGTGGATTCAGGGCTGACTCTGGTGCCGGAAGGTGAATTCTGTGACCCCGAGTGCAGCTGGTTTGGCTGCTGATTGTCCTGAGCCCTCTGGGTTAATCGCTCCCCAAGGCAAAGGATGATGGAAGGAGGAAGCAGATGCTCTTTGGGTGGAGAGGGAATGGGTGATGCCAGGATGGAGCCATCTTGTCATCCTGGGACAGGTACAGAAAGCCTGGTCCCTGCAGAGGAGTATCCAGAAGAAACCAGCTCAGGATGCTGGGTGTTTTCCTTCCCCATCTCGTGCATGGGATGTTATTTTAGTGGGATATTGGGAGCAAAGCATGCTGTGGGGAAGGCTTGCACCTCTCATCTCTGCTTCTCCTAGCTGGAGGAGATGAAGAGAGGTAAGGAAACCTCCAGCCCTTCTGAGCTTCCCCTTGGAAGCTCCTTCCCTGCCAGGGCTCAAGGAGCAGCTGGGAGTGAGCCTTGTCGTCCTCACCTCGATCACTGGCTTTTTGCACTGAACAGGATTGATGTTCTTCCTTGTGTGGTTCATCCCAGAGACTAACTGGGATAGCAGGGGGCTTGTGCCACCTGGCTGGCTCATTATCCTGCTCCCTCCACGTGGATGGCTCATTTTCCTCCTCAGCCCACCTTGCCCCTCGGTATCTGGGATAGTTACTTGGGATGTAGATTGGCTGCCCCTGCAGAGAGGCTTTCTCTGAGCAGCACCGTGGCAGGAGGGTTTCTGTGCGTGGCAGCTTCTCAGCGGGGCTTTTCCTTCCTCAGATCGTGAGGAGGACGGTGAGGATGTGCAGTTTGGAAAGTTTTTGGGGAGAAGATGGTGGAGAAGTGGGATTAAGCACAGTTCTCCACGTGGGAAGGCAGGAGAGCTGCAGAGCGGGGCTGCATTCCCCTTTCTCTGGGAAAGGGCATCACTCCATCTCCTGGGCCCTTCCTAAAAGCCTGAGTGAGTCAGGGAGGGGGATCTCGGTGGGAAAGGCCAGGAGGTGCTGGGGGAAGCTGCGGCGAGGTCTGTGCTCTGCTCGGCTCTGCTCTGCCCCGCCTCCTCCTTAAGAGCCGCCGGCAAGCCCAGCCCTGGTGCTGCCGGTGCCTGCGGAGGTGGGTGGGAGGTGGGTGGCTTTTTGGAGAGCTCAGACTCCTCTGTGACGGTGGTGGCTCCTCAAGGCCCTGCTCCTGCTCCTCTAGGCCTGGCTCCCCGTCGGTGCTCTGAGCTGCCCTGGCTGGGGATCCAGAAGGATCCGTGGATCCTCCGAAGCTGGATGGCTGCGAAGCGAAGCGTCCCCTGTGGGCTGCCAGTGTGGGTGGCCGTAGCCCTGAGGATGTTCTCCCTTTTCCCTTTCCTAGGGGAAGAGAGGACGGCCCCGTAGATCCCGCCCAGCTCCTGCCTGCTCCGCCTGGACCAAGAGGACGGACCGTAAGTAGCCGTGACCTGCTGCCGGTTTATCCCTGCCCTGACGGGACCAGCTGCAGCCTCTCCCACTGCTGGGGATGCAGGAAAAGGTCTCCCCGAAACAGGAATCCTCCTCCCAGTGTGGGTTAACACGGGGTGCAAGGTGATGGAGAGAGTTCTTTTCTGGAGTCTTTCTCCATGGCCATTAACACGGGAGAAAGGAGCAGAGAAGATCCCCAGGGGATTCGGGGCTGACAGGCTTGAGCTTGACCCGTGGGGTTGCTCTGGGGGTTCTGCTCCTCCAGATTTAGTACAAAACAGGAAGCAGAGGGGAAACCACAGATGGGGGGTTAAGGTGCCGAGTGAGCCTTACAAAGAGGGTGGTGACTGCAGGCGGCTTCTGAGTCCCCAGAAGGGGACTCCTGGAGTCAAAAGTCAAATCCCACTAGGGATGGGAGCAGACCACAGGATAACTCAGCCCTGGGGCTTGAGAACCCACCCCTTTTCCCTGGTGAGCTGGATTTGGGTTGGGCTTTGCTTGAGTTTGGGTTGGGGATGGGCTGGAGCATCTCCACGGTTTAGTTTTTACCTCCCAGGACTGTGAGGGAGTGAGTGCTCCCTGTTGGATGCTCTGCCTGCTGCACCTGGGGGAGCAGGGAGAGGCTGCTTGCACCCTGCCTGCATCCCCAGCTCGCTGCCTCCCCCCTTTCTGCCACTTTTTGGGGAGGATTCAGCCCATAAGGTGGGGTTCAAAGCTGCGTTGCCAAAGCCACTCTCCCCATTGCCACCTGCAACCCTGCCTGAACCCTGAGGATGGAGATACCGGAGAGTAAACACAGCACCGAGGTGACGGTGGCAGCAGATGGGGACAGGGCGGGGCAGGTGGGAGGAGGGGGTGGCTGGGTCAGTGGTGGGGGCTCAGGGATGAGGTTCCATCATCTCTGCCAGGTGTCCACGCTCATCTCCTTAGCAGGGGGTTGTTCCCCTGCTCACTTCCAACCGCTCGGCCGTAACCTCTGGAGTGCAGCAACCTGCATCCAGCAGGAAAGGGTCTTTATTTTAGCTTTTTAAGTAGTAAACCTATATAATATAAATAATGATATATAACCTGTAACACTGTACTGAACTCCCCGAGGTGGAGCCCTGTAGCTCCGTGATGGCCTGGGGTTACCCCAGAGCCCTGGGATGCTCAGGTGTACCCACACAGTCAGCATTTCGGGGCTGTAGGAAGGCACTTGGGTCCCACCCTCTGTTTTTTCTGCTGCAATGATTAAAAAAAAAATAAGGGGAGAGGAGAGGGTGGAGGCAGTGCTGGCCTGAATCGGGTTTTGGCTCTGGAGCACATTAAAACCAGCAGTGCCGTGGGAAGGCAGAAGCAGCCCAGATTTATCCTGGGGACCCACCACCATGGAAGGACTCATTGTACCTGAGCTGACTCGCTGTTGCCAGTTTCAAACTCGCAGCCTGGTCACGGGTGAATGTTTTGTTAAGGCTCACATGCCAACGAGGGACTGTTCTCCCCTATCGTCAATCTCTGGCTGGGTTACTGTGTGCCTGGGATACCACGGACTTAGGAAACGGCGCTGCCTCTCCGTGAAGAGGGCAATTAAGATTCCTTTGAAGTGACTCGCAGGGCTCTTAAAATAGGATAAATGTGGGTATCAGTGCACGGGGTGGGCTGGCTCCGTGCCCTCCGTGGGGCTGTGCCTGGTGTCCAGCGGGATTGATTTTTGCAGTGCTGCGTCCTCACGATCCTCTGCTTCCCCCCAGCCCGCTGCATTTGCAGCTCCTGCTCTTACCATTGTTCTGCCCTGCTGGTTTTGGCATCCTTTGTCCTCTCCAAGCATCCCTGGTCCCCTTTCGGTATCCCTGTTTCCATCCCCCCCGGAATCCCCATCCCATGCAGCATCCCTTGGAGGGGGCTCAAATCCAGACCCTGCTGCCTTCTGGGCTTGTGACGGCGGTTCTTGTAATCCCACAAGGATTTTTCTCCCCGCTGTGGATCTCAGTTTTCTTCCCAGCTTGGAAAAAACAATTCCCCGAGCACCTGGAGCTCGCAGCAGCCTGGGTGAGGAAGGTTTGGGATGCCAGGCTGGGGATTTGGGTGCCTTTGATGATCTGCCAAGCGCAGGCAGTGCCTGGAGTTGGCTGGATCCTTTCCTTCCCTGCAGGATCGCCCCGGGCCGCCTCCCAGGTCGTGCTCAGGCTCTGGCACGCGGTGGCTGTGCCGGGGCAGGGCCGCGCTGCGTGGGGGGCACGTCGGCATCTGCCGGGGCTCCTCCGGCAATCCCAGCCCTACCACGGGCAGAGATCCCGTGGGAGGGGGGCTTGGAAGATCCCGGGGCTGTAAACTGCTTCCCTGGGGGTCGATCCTGGTTGTTGTCCCCAGTGGAATGTAGGATCTGCCCTGCTGGTTCCTGAAGGCTCCATGTGCCTGGGAAGCTCGGGGGAGATGGGCTGCCTGGGGTCGGAGGGGTCTGTGCTGTCCTGGCTGTCTGTCTGTCTGTCTCCCTCCCAGTGGTTCCCACTGCTGAGAGTGAATGCCCAGGTACTGCTGGTGCATCCCTTCCTCGGGCACAATCCAACACTCCTCCAGTTATAAATAAATGCATGTTTTTGGGGGATAAACTGTTGGAGATGCTTGTTCTCCACTGAGCATCCTTCTTGCCCAGGGAAGCTGGACCAGGCAGTGGGTGGCTCTGTGTCCCATGGACACGTGGGATGGGATGGTGGGAGCACAGGAGAGGTGTCCTTGCCTCGTGTCACGCTTTTTCCTAATCCAGAGGTTACCATGGAAACATAAAAGTACTAAGAGCTTTTGCTGCATGGCCTGCTGGTCCACGATGCTTTCCTGGGATGGCAGTAGGTGCCTGGGATCACCATCCATCCATGTCAGGATGGACTGGGGGATTTATAGCCACCCCCCACCTTTGAGCTTGTTCCACGGCTTTAAATTCCCTTTTTATTTTGCCTGGGAGCAGCTTGGCCAGTGCCTGCTGCCACTCTGTGGATTGGCATGACTTAAATGTGGAATTGCTGGAGCTGTTGAGGTTGACGGATGGATGGATGGATGGATGGATGGATGGATGGATGGATGGATGGATGGAGGGATGGATGGATGGATGGATGGAGGGATGGATGGATGGAGGGATGGATGGATGGATGGAGGGATGGATGGAGGGATGGAGGGATGGATGGAGGGATGGATGGATGGAAATGCAGGGATGAGGTCCTCCCCCAGCAGGAGGGTCAGCCCCTCGGGGTGTTGCTGGCATCTCCCAGGGCGCCTGGTAAAAAATTGCCGGGCAAAATCCCTCTCTTAGGTCGGAGGGAGACAGGGAAACTCCATGAGGTTTGAGCTGCCTCTGCAGCATCCCGGGATGGGGCTTTCCTGGAACACAGGGTGGGGAAGGGGGGAAGGGCAGTGGGGCTTTTGAGTCCTTTGTGCAGCGATAAGCCCCAGCCCAGGAGCTGTGGGGGTGCCGACATCAAAGAGGGGCTTTTCCAGTCGCTTCTCCCAGGTGTGAGGAGCTGAATCCAGCCGGGACTTTCCCCTCAGCTCCGGGGCTTGGTGGGGCAGGTGATGCCCTGGACCGACCCCGGGGGAGCCGTGGGGGATCCCACCCGTGAGAGGGACGAGCACGGAGTCTCTCCCTGCTGGATTGGGATGCTGTGGTGGGGGATCTAGGGAGGATGCTGTGATGAGAGGTGTCTATTGGGGGACTTGGCAGAAGCTGGGGGGGTTCTGAGGGCCCTGTGATGGGACAAGGATGGTGCAGGGGCTCTGAGGATGCTGTGATGGGACCAGGGATATTGCGGGACTGGGGTTGCAGTAAGAGGGCTCTGAGGATGCTGTAAGACCAGGGTTGCCATGGGGAGCTCTGAGGATGCTGAGATGGGACAGGGATGCTGTGGGGTCTGAGGACACTGCAGGAGCGGGAATGCCGTGGGGACCAGCAGGACCCTTCGGCATCGCTGCCCCCCGCAGCCCTACGAGGAGCCAGAGCGCCGGCTCGGGGTGTTGAGACCTTCCCCCTGTTGGCAGCTGCTCTGATTTGGGCTGTGGATCTGGTAGGGCTGAGCTTGAGCTCATTCCAGAGGCACCACAGGCGTGGGGGCAGCTGGGTGTGCTCTGTTTTGCTCCGCATTCCCTGAACGCTTCACCAAACAGTGCTCCTTCTCCCCAGGGATTATTAGCCATGTTTGCCTTAGATAAATTTTGCATCGGGCCCAGCTTGTGCGTACAAGCCTGGGAAAAGATCATAAAGCCTTCAAAAACAACAAAACAAAAAAGTAAAAAAAAAAAAAGCTGGTATGTAAAGGCAAACACTGTGGGCAGGGCGGATTTTCCCGGTGGGAGGGGTGAAGCGGGCTCGGTGGGGTGTTTTGGCACCCAAGGAGGGAGCGGGGGGGGGTGAATTTGGTGCTAAATTTGGGTCCTGATGCCCAGCAGCATATCAGCCCTGGGTGAAGAGGAGTGCTCAGGCCCCCCAGGAGCATCCTCAGCCTCCAGCTGTGGTGGTGGATTTCCCCTCGGGGCTTTCGTGGCCAGTTTTGCGTAGAACAAAAAGCCCCAGGAAGCACAAGCTGCTTTTCACTTACCCCTAATTTTATTTTTCCCAAGCAATTGTAACGTGTAAAGGGGTGAGACCCCCCAACTCCTCCTCCCTATGTGCTCCTTGAATATCCAGCGGTGGGTTTCATCTTTCCAGGCAGGACAGGCTTGTTGAGCCAGAAATACGGATGCAGGATGAGAGCTGGGCTGTAAATTGAGGATGAGGGGGGGTTTGCTTCCCCTTTCTGGAGCCTCCAGGTGATGGTGGGCACGATTATCCATGTTTTACGAAGGAGAAGCATTTCAGGAGAGACAGATGCTTTCCCAGGGGACCACCTCAGCAGTCCCTGTCTCTGTCCTCATCCCTCTGCTGTCAAATGGACAGTTTTCTTTGCCTTATGTCCCATCCCACTGCTTCTAGCACAGTTTAATTGCCCTAAATTCCCTTTTAATTGCCCTTTCTGCCCTTTTTAATTAATTGCCCTCCTGCCCTTTTAACTTGAGGAACCCGTGACAAGGAAGGGAAGAGCCTGACTCTTGTGGGATTCTCTTGGGTCTCATTTCTTCTAATTCTGGATATTTTTGCCCCCAGAGCTGCTGCTCTTGACTCGCTCTTGGCTGGGTGAGGCCGTGGCCCTGCCGGGCAGGTGGCAGGTGCCGGGTTCATTAGCGGTGCTTCGTTAGGCAGGCAGGGGTGTGAGGTGGGTGCCCCCCCTCCCCAGGTGACTAATCCCTCGAGACTTTGATGGAGAGACACCGATTGCCAGCCCGGGTGTGCTCCTTGCCCTAGGCTGGCATTTAGCGCTCCTTCCTCTCCCACCCCGAGACAGCTCCTGGAGCGGGGAGGAGCTCAGTTACGGGGGTGGCAAAGCCAAGCCCATCTCTGAGCCAGGCTTAGAGCAGGAGTCCCTCCCGGGAGCAAAGCCTCCTGTGCACCCCAAAGCTTCTCCCAGCTGGTAAGTTCATTTCCCATCCTTGCCGTGTGCTGGTGGGACAGGCTGGGCCGATCCCGGGATGGCTCCGATCGGGGCTCTCTGCTCCCTGTTCCAGGAGCGGGAGGTTTCGGAGGAGGACGAGAGTCGCGCCGCTTCCCCCGCCGGTGTTTGCGCGGGGACTGAGCTCGGGGCACCCCCTTCCCCGGGCCGGGATGGAGGAACTGAAGGCGTTGGAGCTTCCTGGAGTTCGTGATGCTCTTTGGTTTGACCCCCTCGGCTGCTCCTGCCCTTTCTGCCTGGCTCGGTGGCGGCGGTGGCACATTGGGTGTTGTGGCTGCTGGTGCCAGGTGGATGCTTCAGCTGGGCTTAAAATCACCACCCCTGGGACTTCGTGGTTGAAACCCCGCTGAGGGCTCACTTTTTCTCTTTAATTACTTTTTTTTTTTTTTACTTTGCCCTTACCCTGTAGGGCTGAAGCTCCTCAGGAAGCTTGGGGGCTTGCCTGGCTTTGATAAACTCTACAAAGCAACCCTTTGGCAGCACAGAAATGTGGATTTAAATAAGTAAATCCCTTGGGGAAGCCTCGCACCATCACAGATGGGCAGGCAGGGGGTGATGCCTCTTGGATGGGGTTTTGGGGCAGCTCCTGTGGGGTTTACCCTCATCCAGTGCCATCCCCTGTTTCCCACTGCAGGTGACCAGCCACGATGAGAGCTCCGGCCCTCGCCTGATCCCTTTCCTGCTCATAAAAATGATCAACAAGTCTCGTGAGTCCCATCTCCCTCTGTCCAAGCAGGGAGGGGGGGACTGGGGGATTTGCATGTGGAAATCTGGCTTTTGGGGGTTGGATGCTGCTTGGCTGCAGCTCCAGCTGGGTGATGGAGTGCCGAGGTATCACAGGCAAAGTCCTGGCAGGGAGGGTGGTTTTGGGCTCCTTGAACCTCTGGGCTCAGGCACCTGGAACTTTGTGGTATAAAAATGGGGTGGAGGCACCCAGAAAGACGGATGTTTGCCTGGCCTTTGACAGAAGGTGGAAACACAAACGTCGTGGTGGCTTTTGGAACTGGGACAAAACCACCTGGCTCTGTCTCACAACTGCTGCTCTTGGGAGCACGGTGTCAATTAAACCCTGGCCTCTCCCCATCAAAGCTCTGCCAGCCTGGATCTACCAGGACATCCCCAGAGGGCTGAGGGGACCCCACATCCCATCATCCAAATCCTAGGGTACCGGGTTGATGGTGTTTTTTCTCTCCCCCTCCCCTCTGGGCACGCAGGAGGGAAGATACTCGGGGTGCTGGCGCTGTTTCTGGTGATGGTTTGGTACTCGATCTACCGGGAAGACAGGTACACACAGCTGTGAGTGCCTTTCGTTCAAGTTTAAAGGACCTGCTGCCCTTTCCTTCACTCCCAGGAGGTGGCATCCTCCCACCCGTCCTGCACGGGGATGTGGGAGCATGTTCTGGCTGGAGCCGGGGGGAGCGGGGAGGCGGCAGCATCCTCGGCTGCTGCCAGGGAAGGGGGGCACGATACGAGGTTCCCCCTCGGTGTGTGGTGGTGGTCGGGCTCTGCGGGGTTTTTGGTGAATGCTGGTGTTTGCCTGAGCCCGGGAGGATGGGAAAACCCTGCTCTCCTCCCAGTGCCAGTGATGCTGATGGAGATGGGGAAAGCAGAGAGCGTGAGGCCCATGAGCAGGGCAAGAGAGACCTCTTCCGATGCAAGGCTGCAAGCCCAGCAGATAAACATCCAAGGCAGTGCTGGCCTTAAATCCGGCTGGAAATATCTCTGGCATGGCCTGAATCCCACCGTGGGGTGCTGGAACCCCCTCTGCCAGGAGGGGGGTGCAGAGGAGCAGACATCATTTGATTTAATTAACCCCTTCCCTTACAGCTTTTATTTCCCCGTCCAAGAAAACAAGACGACGTGTCCCCTTGGGGAGGTGGAAAAGAAAGCAGCGCAGCTCATCGGGAAGTGAGTCTTGGGGCTGGGAGGAGGGAGTGGGGGGATGCAGAGCCAGGACCCCCCTCCCTGTGCCACCCCCCCATCCCCGTCTCACCGACCCTTTGCTCCTCGGCAGCTACACGAGAGACCACCCGCTCTTCCTGCAGCTGAAGGACTATTTTTGGGTGAAGACGCCGTCGCTCTATGAGCTGCCCTATGGCACCAAGGGAAGTGGTGAGTGCTGGCAGTGCTCTGGGGGTCTGTCTGTCTGTCTGTCTGTCCTGCTGCTGCTCCCCAAGGTTTCAGCTTCCCTCTGACAGACTGCTGCAGGTTGCTTTTTGGGGACTGTTCACCCCCCCGCAAAAAGTTGATTTTTAGACCCTGCAGCTGGTATCTCCTTGCCCTGGGTGTGTGTGGGCCCTCTAAAAGGGTTTAGGGTGGGCCTGGCTTTACTAAGCCCCAGCCACGGATTATCCACCCGGAGCTGGGATTAACGGCAGGAGGAAATCCGGCAGGGATGGGGCAGCACCCCAGGCCTTGTGCCAGGCAGGAGCTGCCTTCCTCACCTTCTCCTGGCCCTTGCTTTGCAGAAGATGTCCTCCTGCGCTTGCTGTCCATCACCCACTACTCCCTGCCCGAGAGCATCCAGAGGTAACACCGGGGTGGGTTTAGGGGCTTTTCTGTCTTTGTCGTCTTCTTGTGAGGGGTGGAATTCATCTGTTGTGGGCCTGGGGTTTGGCAAAATGAACCTCTGCAACCCAGGGGTGGTGGATGGAGTGCGGAAAGGTTTGGAGACCGGGCAATGCAGGGTTAAACCCCCACTGGGGGTTAAAACCACCCCGGTTTTGAAGCAGGTGTGGTTGAGACGGGGCTCTCTCTGCAGCCTCAAGTGCCGGAGGTGTGCGGTGGTGGGCAACGGCCACCGGCTCCGCAACAGCTCCATGGGCGACACCATCAACACCTACGACGTCGTGATCAGGTACGGCCCTGGGCCCGTCCCACCGCTCCCTCCCCACTGCCACCCGCAGCGGGGGCTGACACCTGTGATGTCCCCGTGTCCCCCCACCCAAGGCTGAACAACGCCCCGGTCCATGGTTATGAGCAGGACGTGGGCTCCAAGACCACCATGCGCCTCTTCTACCCGGAGTCAGCCCACTTCGACCCCCAGACGGAGAACAACCCCGACACGCTGCTGGTGCTGGTGCCCTTCAAGCCCATGGACTTCCAGTGGATGGAGGCCATCCTCAACGACAAGAAGAGGGTGAGTGTGGTGGGGAAGCGAGTCCGACCCCTCCCTGACTGCTCCGGAGCCCAGCCCTCATCCCATCCTACCCTTGGGGACATCTCTGTCCTCTTGCAGGTTCGGAAAGGGTTTTGGAAGCAGCCCCCGTTGATCTGGGACGCCAACCCGGAGCAAGTGCGAATCCTCAACCCTTACTACATGGAAGTAACTGCTGCTAAAGTGCTCAACCTCCCCATGAAGCAACCACGGAAGGTCAAACAGGTAAGGGGTGGGGATGGCCGGTCCCTCTGCACCCCTGAGGGGGGACAGCCTGTCCTGTGCATCTCCCTGAAGGCCGTGGCTCTCTGCCCCTGTCCCCCAGAAGCCCACCACGGGGCTCCTGGCCATCACCCTGGCGCTGCACTTCTGCGACCTGGTGCACATCGCGGGCTTCGGCTACCCCGACTCGGGCAACAAGAAGCAAACCATCCACTACTATGAACAGGTCACGCTCAAGTCCATGGCTGTAAGTGTCTGCCCCACATTTTTTGTCCATGCTCCCCCCCGTTTTTCCCCTGGGATGAGGGATGGCAGCCTGGGAGAGCAGTGCTGTGATGCTGAGTGGTGTGGGACCCTCTTCCCATGGGGACCTCTTGCTCCCCTCTCACGATGGGTGTTGAGCCCACTGTTGGATGGTCACCATCCAGCTTCTCCCTGTAGCCCTGTGTCCTTGGAAGCGTGGAGAGCTGGATCCATCCCTGTGTGTTTATGTGTGAGGAGAAGGGCTCATGGCCGGGGGGATCAGGTGGGGAGGGTCCTGTCCCTCTTTTTGGGAGGCTCAACTCCCACTGGTGAGGTGGGCAAGCTGGAGGGCTGGGAGGGGCGGGGGGAAAGCGCGTGGTCCCTCCTCCCCGGTGTCACGCCCCGCTCCCCGTCCCGCAGGCGTCGGAGCACAACGTGTCGCACGAGGCCGTGGCCATCAAGCGGATGCTGGAGCTGGGACTGGTCAGGAACCTCACCTACTTCTGAGGGCGGCAGGGACGTCATCCCCGCTGCGAGGGGACACAGCGCCTGCCGTGAGGGGACACGGCGAGGGCAGAGCGTCCTGGTCACCGAGGGCAGATTGTCCTGGTCACCGAGGGCAGAGTGTCCTGGTCACTGCCGTCACCGTGCCCCGGGATGGCCGGAGCCAGCAGGGCCGGGGGCCGCGCTGGGCCGCAGGTTCCCGGGGCAGGGGCAGCTCTAGGGGGGCGCAGGGAGCCCCCGGCACCTTTTCTACCAACGCACTGAAGCTACCAAGGACTTGGAGGGGACTTTAGGGGCGGGGGGTCCTCCCTCCCAGCGGGCCTGTGGGGGCGAGGCGGGGCAGGAGCCCTTGCCTTGGACTTTCTCTTTCCCTTAATTCCCTCATCACTCGGACGAGGGCCCTGCCAAGGGGCTGATCTTGGGGGTCCCGGGACCCTCCCCACAGGGAATGGGAGCCTTTGGGGGCCCACGTTGCCTCCTCCCTCCCCTGGACCCCCTCCCAGATATTTAATTTCCCCCCTCCCCTTTTTTTTTTAATTTCCTTTTTACTCGGCAGCCCCGTCCTGTGCCTTAGCGCTGGCGCGGGGGCTCGTCCCCGCAGCCCCCCCGGGTGGGGGCACCCAGGGGTGCTTGGCCTCGGGGTCTGCCGGGGCCCTTTGGGGGTGCAGATTAATTTAATTAATTTAAATGCTTATTTATGGTGGAGCCTTCACCTGGGGCCCATGTGCCACTGGTGTCAGGGACAAGGGGCCTTGGGTGGGGGGCCGGCAGGGTGCTCGGCTCCAGGAGGTGGATGTTGGGGGTGTCCAACGTCCTCCTATGGAGGGGTCGACCGGTGCCTTCTCCCTGCTGCTGTAGGGTCCCCTGTGGGGCCGTGGGTGTCAGGGGAACCAATGGATGGGGGTGTTGGGGCTCATGCTGGCACCCAATAAAGGTCCTGCTGAGGCTGGGATGGGCTGGGCACTCCTGGGACTCGAGGGGTGGGGTGTGTGAGGGAGACTTGGGGCTGTGACATGCAGAGAGTGTGGCCTGTCCCCCCTTCCTTGTGTCCCCGTGTCCCCTTACCTGCTGTGACGCCCCATGTCCTGGCTCCCACGCTGGGGTTGTGGGCTCCCAGCTGCCCCGTGCCTCAGTTTCCCTCCACCACCAGCCATTTCTGCCCCCCTGGGGGTTCCCCCAGGAGGCCCCGGCACGTTCAGGCTTCAGGCCAGGTCTGTGCCAGGCAAAGTGTCACCACGGAAGCCGATGTCCCCACGGGGTGGCCACCAGCCCAGGCGTGCCACGAGAAACACCTCTTGTATTGACCGCGGCGCCGCGATACAGCTGGAGAGGCCCTTCCCGGGGGGTCCCTGTCCCACCGATGTCCCCCCCATCCTGTCCCACATGGCGGGACCCCCCCAAAACCCCCCCGAAACGGACTCTATAAGTATGGACACCGAACACGACGAGGGAAGGGAAGGAGCCGGGTGGGAGAGGGCAGCGGGAAGCGGAGGTGAGCGGCTGGGGGGGCGCGGTGGGGCCGGGGGCGTCCCCAGCCCCGCGGAGGGGGCGGCTCCGGCTCCCCGGGGCTCAGCGCGTCCTCGGCGGGGTTGTGCTTAGCATGTACCGGGGAGGGGGGGGGATGCTGGGCCGGCCCCCCGCCCCGCAGCCCCGCTCTGGGGGCTGGATCCGGCCTCTTCCCACCGCCGCTGCCGGCGGGCGCCACTGTCCGAGCGCCACGGCGCCCACGCGGAGGGTCCCGAGCGGCCCCCGGAGGGGCTCAAACGTGCGTCTGCATCCGCCTCTGCAGGGGCCGGCTGGGGTCCGAGTTTTGGGAAGAGGACTGGGAGTGGTGGGAGGAGGATGCGGAGGCCTTGCTGGCCTTGTCGAACTGCACGTAGCCGTCCTGCTTCCCGCTGCTGCTGATGCTGCTGTCGCACTGGGTGTCGAGGAAGGAGCTGCTGTCGCTCATGGAGCCGCGCTGGAACTCGCGCTCGCACAGCTCGATGGAGCTGCTGCCCATGCCCAGCACGAAGCGCTGGCTGTAGTCGTAGAGGCGGCTCTGCCCGCTCAGGGTGCTGTAGATGTTGGTGAAGGACATGCCCGTGGGCACCCGCTGCTTCCCGGCCGGGCGCAGGTCGGCCGGGCAGCCCGACAGCGAGATGGTGGGGGTGGAGTGGTGCTCCTTGAAGGTGTTCACGCTGTAGTAGCCGTTGGTGGGGTCCTGCAGAGTGGGAGAAAGCGGGGGCAGGTTGGTGGTGCCTGCTCTCCCTGGTGTCCTGTGGGGCATTTGGGGCATCCACCCTGCCCATTCACCCAGGACGTGCAAGAATTATGGAATATTCTCATTTGGGAGGGACCCACAAGGATCACTGAGTCCAACCCCTGTCCCCACACAGACACCCCAGCAATCCCCTCCTGTCCCTGAGAGCGTTGTCCAACCCTCCTGGAGCTCTGGCAGCCTTGGGGCTGTGCCCACTGCCCTGGGGAGCCTGTTCAGTGCCAACCACCCTCTGGGGGAAGAACCTTTCCCTGAGATCCAACTTAGCCACCCCCGACTCAGTTCCAGCCATTCCCTCGGGTCCTGTCACAGAGATCAGTGCTGTCCCTCTGCTGCCCCCTCAGTCTTATCTCCTCCACACCCTCCACCATCCTCAGAGCCCCCCGGTGGAGGACACCCTCAACCACCAACCGCTCCTACCCACAGGAGCAACGACCCCTCGTGCCACCAATGTGTCCCACCCTGCCCAGCCCCCTCCAGATCGGGGCACAGCTGCCCCTCGCACTGCCCTCTCCTGGCACACACCTTTGTTATCCCCCCCTAAAGGGTGCTGGGGCCAGACAACAGCGCCGGGGTACCAAAGCATCCCTCCCCACACAGGGACAGCCCGCTGGGGTGGGCCAGCACTGGTGACACGGGGGACATGGCCCAAGGACAGAGTGGGACTCACCTTCAGGTTTTGAAACTCCTTCTCCTCCTCTTTGAGCACCTCGAGCTGCTTCAGCACCGAATCCTGCTGGAACTCCCCCCGGTCCATCTAGGAAAGGATGCAGGTGGGGGTCAGCGTCCCCTGGCACCCGCTGGACCCCGGCTGTCCCCACCACCACCCACGCCGCGTGGGCTGAGCCCCACACCCACCATCAGCCCCACGGCACAGGGGAGTTGTCACCAGCTGGATGTGCCCAGGGATGCCCCAGAGGGGCGGTGTCGGAGAGCTGCGGAGCCGGGAAAAAAAAAAAGCCTCGCGATTCCCTGGGTTACAGGTTGTTTTGGACAAAAAAGGCCCGGCTGACGCAGGAAGTAAATTATTTACTGTGGTGAGGGTTGGGGCGGCACCACCTGCCCAAAGCAACACCCTCAAAATCTCCTTATTTTGCTGTTTTCCCCCCATCTTTTCATCCTTCCCTCCTCAGCTGAACTTGGTCACCTCATTAGTATTCCTCTGAAGGCTGGCCGTGATCGGGGGGGAAGGGCAAGGTGCACATTAATTACACTACGCTTTAATTACCCCTCCTTCGGCACGGGGGGCTGTTCAGGAAGGGGAATAATTATCAACCAATTTCTCATTTGCTTTTTTTTAGCTTCTCCCGTATTTATTGGGCGCCTCCAGCCCGGCTTCTGTGGGATCACAGCCCTCAAATCCCCTTTTATTGCCCAAATTCTCTCCTCTTTAAGGTGGTAAGTGGCTGTGGAAATTCACCCCGCGGCACTTGCTGTTCATCTCCCGAAAGCCTTTGATGTGGCTGTTAAAGGCAATAAATTAAAGTACCTGAGTTTTCCTAGGGAAAAGAAAACCTGTATCAGGCATTGATTTACCTGGATAAATACAAGTGTCGCCGAGGATTAAACCAGTGCAACCAAAATGGGATGTGGAGGGTTTTTTTCGCTCTGCCAGCCCCAGCGACCCCCTAAATCCCCTAAAGCATCGCAACAAAGGCAGGGATTGGGGGTGTTAACCCTAGAAGGGTTTCACAAGTCCTGGCTCAGAAAGAAAAGGAAAAACCACCTCTCCTCCTTGCATTTGGTTGGTTTTTTGTGTGTGACCCGGGCGGGCAAGGCAAGACCCAGGAACGGAGAAGGGAGAAGACAGGTGGGAAGCAAGGGGACAGCCCCGCTGTGACCAAACCTCCGTGGAATTAGCGGCGGGTTTGACGGGGTGTTTGTAGCCGTTTTCTGTAGCCCTTGCGGGGATGGTGACAGCGACCCACGCACTGGGATGCCCCTCCAGTCCCGTGGGGACCCTGCCTGTGCCCGGGGTTGGCAGGATGCTCTGGGTCCGTGGATTTGGGGGCTGCAGGGAGCCCCCATAAAGTGCCATCTCATCACCGAATCGCCAACTCCCCCACTACAGCCGGTCATTAACGTGACCTTTATTAAACCTGCGTGGCGGCTCAGCCCCGATGTGACCTTATGGCGTTAATTAGCAGGTGCTGAGATGCTCATTAGCGTCGCTTCCGCTTTGCCGCCGCTGGGTGAACACCGGGAGGGAAGGAAAGTTGACTCAGGTTCGCTTCGTCACCAGCACTGATGGGCGTTACGAAGGGAGAGCGGGAAATGCGTGGAAAAAGACCAGGAGTGACCAAGTGCGCTGGCACGGGATGCTGCAGCGTCACGCCCGGGCTATTTTTTCCGGAGCCGTGGCTTTCTCCAGCCGGTGACAGCACCAATAGGCTCCTCGGCGCTGCCGTGCAGGGGGTTGGTTGACCCTACCAGGGTGAGGGATGTTGGAGATGATTCCCAAACAGTGGCTTCCTCTGCTCCCAGCAGAGGGAGGAGACAAGCCCATGAATAATTAAAAAAAATTCCTGGGAATTCCCAGCTGAACAAGGCTTTATCACCTTCAAACAGCAGCTCTGGCCTTGGTTGCCTGGTGATGGGAACTCCAACCGTTTGTGCGTGCTGCCCATCCCAGCTGAAGCTGCACCACCTCATCCCACCTCTCCCCAGAATGTTGCTTTTGGATGGGCTGGTGCCACTGGAAGGGGTTGGCTGTGCAGGAGGGATGTGCCCTGGACCTCCCAGGTGAGGCTGGATGTTGTGGAGGTGCAGCCTGGCTCTGATCCAGACCTGGATCCACCAGCTTGGAGGTTGCTGGCGCTTCCCAGGGCTGTGGTGGCACTGCCCTCTGGGCACGTGGAGCATTTTCCAGGGAGAAAGGCAGAGACACAGGATGCTGTGTCTGCTGGGCTGTGGGTGGGATGAATCTTACCCTGAATGGGAATTCTGCTTGAGTTTTTCTCTTCTGCAGGGAACTGAGCTGAGCTCCTGGTTGGAAAACGTGTCGGTGTGTTGATCACCTGTGATGGCTGTGACCAAACTGGGAACAGCCCTCAGAGCAGTGGGATGGGTTTCAAGAGACAGGAGTGAAAAGAGAGCAAGGAAAAGATCAACCTGTCACTGGATTGGTTATTTGGACTGTTCCACCCCAAATATGAGCCAGACGTGATGCCTCGGTCACCCTTTTGACCTGGGATACTCCTGCCTGTCCGTCACTTTAGGACTGTCTCTGATGGCTCCAGGCAGTGGGAGTGGCTCCTTTGGGATCACCAGCCTCATTTCACAGGTGGGGAAATGGAGGCAGAGGGTCCAAGCAGCCAGGAATGAAGCCAGCCATGGTGACAGAGGGTGTTACGCCACGTCGGGGCCGAGGATGCTCCTCATCTCTCTCCTCCCAGCCCGGCCCCAGCCAGGCTGACAGTGCATCCCGGCAGGAGGGAGAATGCTGCTCTTGTGATTTATTTTTCCCAGGATCAGACCCTTTATCGGGCTCTTTTGCCTCCAGCCACCAGAGCTGGCAGCTTTTTCCCTGCCTGTAGGCACTGCCTGGCAGAACAGGAGCGTGGGGAGCGGCGCTGAGGCGATGTGAACATATGCAAATCAGCCAGCGTGACGCGTATCCTAAGGTGTTAATGAATTTAGAGATGCATGAATAATTATTTGTGAAAAGCACG